GGACCCAGCCTCTTAATTTGAACGGATTTCTTTTTGATTTAAGCTCAAAGCGGATTGAATCAAGAGTATTTTTTCTTGTCAATGTTTTACAGAGTCTGGACTCTAGATCCAATGTGTTTTTATTTCCCAGTGATTGAATTCCTCGAAGAAATTTTTGAGGAATTTTCCCTGGAAACTTTTCCGACTAAATTCCCCTATTTTCATGCAAACAGGCAACAGTGGCCAAAGCAGAGACGCACGGCCTGGCATTGGGATGGGATGCGGCTGCATATCATTACCCCTCTGGACTCGGGTCCCGGGTCCCGGCTCTGAAGTTGACTGCGCTCTCTGGCTCTCTTAATAAATAAATAAATATTTATGATACATTAATATACTCTAGTTAAGATAATAATACGTGCGATGACTTGACTCTCTGCCGCACTTGTGAGCATCTGACGTACGATCACAATCCAGCCCCCCTCTCCCCACCCCTTCTTCTAGTTCCAACTTTTGTTCTTCCCTTAAGTTTTCGTGCGTACACTGAAAAAAAAAGTTCGGTAAATCCGAACTGGTTAGGATCATATGGAACCAGGTTTCGTTCGGTACACTTGACCGAATTGTTCGGTTTGTGTGACCGAACCATAATAAATTCTTACAGTTCCGTTCAGTGGACCGAACAGTTTGGCTGAGCAGACCGAATAATTCGGTCGTTTGTACCGAACAAAATCGTGGTTCCATGTGATCCTAACTAGTTCGGATTTACCGAACTTTTTTTTTCAGTGTAGAGGTAGACCCGCGTTTGGCACTGCAAATGACTCTTCCTAAATTTGCGATGAACCAGTAGACAAAGCACAAATTAAAACATCCAGATAAATGTTTCCTGACAAAAATTTCACGTAGAACACGTCGCCCAACGAAAATGACTAAAATCAACTCGTAACTGCAACTGATCCATTATCCAGATCAAACCGGCTGGAATGGGGTTAGACTAGTGAGAGAAAGATTACCTTTTCGATCTTTTTATTTTTCTTACCTACAGAAAAACTATGCTGCTCTCTGATTTTTCTGAAAGCTCAAAACGTGCTTGACTGACACGGAGGGCAAGGAAGCTTTTTAAACAGCTCAGATCTAACGTCAACACTGATAATAGACGTCCAAGTGGACGGCACGTGGTGGGTTTTAGCAAAGTTGACAAAATCAAACTAACACGAGCCATTGCTACGTGACATTGACCGTGTCGCGTCGCTGGAGCAAGGACATTGCCAATGAAATAAGAAATCATAATTTCGTAACCTCTATGATAGAACAATGGAAATTAAAATCATCTTTCTAATAAGAAATAAAAAAAAATTTTGTACACGATGAGGAGAAGAATCCCACAAAGATTCTAAAAAATAAACGGAAAATAAATAATAGAGATAAGACTTAGAATTCTCTCGGCATAATGGTAAGATACTATAAGGTAAGGCGATGGAAATAGTAAAACACCCTGAGAAAAATGTTTACGATATTCGTACCGAACCTATTTTTTCTGAAATACTTGGAAAAAATTCATCATTTTCTAGGCGAATAAATGGAACTATATCCCGACCTTGAAAATGTCTGTTTCCAAATTTTACATTTACCAAGGAACTGTAAAAATTTCTGCCTGAGAATTGCATTAATCTTTCCTCTGATTTTACGTAATAGACGATACGATTTGGGACGGAATTGGTCATTCACGTCCAATGTAATAAAAATAAAGTAAATTTTGAATGAAATCTGGGTTTGGCAACACCATATTTGATATGCTTTGATTTGCTTATTGTGTTAGTCGAGGTGTTGTGTAAAAGGACTAAAAGGTATTTGGTAGATTAATACACCTTATTATTTTTTCTACAAAGTTCAGAAAGTATCACGAGTATCGTAAAATGGAACATTGTAAAAGTAGCAACAAAATAAATAGCTTGAGTACCATTTACCATTCGGAAGGATAGAATGGAATTACATTCCTAAGTCTAGAAACGACGAATTGGACGTATTTCTGTCAAACGGAACTATGTGCATTATGCCGTGAGCCCTGGTATGCATGTATTCGTATGGGTCTCAGGGCTCATGTCTTAAATGCACATAGTTCCGTTTGATAGAAATACGTCCAATTGACGAAACGCCAAACCGGCGATCAAGACCAAGATTCAGAAAACAGTTAGAAACATAGCAACGAACAGATGGAGGTTTTAATTTATGCAAAACTCTATCAGATCCGATCAGAACCAGGTTGTGATTAGCTGGCTTCAATTTTGAAAATTCAAGGAAGCCATTCAGTTTCTGATTTGTTTTTTCATAATGGTTTGAAAAATGTGATGTGAGGAATCCCGTGACGTAGTCAGTAAATCAGTGAGTCGGGTCCACCAAAAATGGGAGAGGAAAAGAAAGGGCCGTTAATGAGTAATCAAGCTCGTAGGCGGCTTAGATAACTCCTACAAAGATCTCTATCGTGAAAGCAAAACGTTGGCCTATGACCTGAAACCGAGGATTAGAGGTTTCACGACTCGGAAGAAACTAGGACCCTTGACATTGTATCAAACTTGCTGCTAATTTTTTTCCGTTTTTTGCAGACGGCACGCGATACCTATCGCGGAAATCTTAGCTTTATCGTTTGTAGTCGTGAGTTCCGACCCGTTGAAATTACCCATAACGTGTCAAATTACACAGCTTGTCCGGTGGAACAGTGTACATGGCACTGAAGAGATGACAATCTTATCGACTGAGCTACGATAGAATCGATACTCCCCCAACAACGCAGTAGGAAATTCATTCAATTGATTCGATATAATGCTGTTGGAGCAGATCATAAAATAAAGTATTTTGCGCCACTGAACTTTCCTTAATCCTAAACTACTAAGTTTGAGACTTGAGCTGAATATGGTAAATACAGCTAGTGATCACCAGCCGTGCGTTGAAAGTCCTGAATCGTGATTCAAAATGAATATCGAATTTTTTTATATCGATATTTTAAATGTGAATATATGTACAACTGTAACATTCTCCTTGGTCTTTCCATAATCAGGTTCCATTCACCAAGTTGTAAGGACTTTTTGCGTGAATTTTCTGAAATTTTTCGTTATCACACTGAAAAAAAAAACACACTGGATCTAGAGTCCAGACTCTTAAGAACATCGACAAGAAAAAGCACTCTTGATTCAATCAGAATCTAGCTTAAATCAAGAACCAAGCCTCTTAATTGAAGCGGATTTCGTTTTGATTCAAGCAAAAATCCGATTGAATCAAGAGTATTTTTTCTTGTCAATGTTTTCAAGAGTCTGGACTCTAGATCCAATGTGGTTTTTTTCCAGTGCAACATTAAAAAATCATAAAGAATATTCAGTAAATGTTTCAATGAAGTACAAACATTTGCTTTAATCATGGATGAAACTTCAGCGGAGATTTTAAGACACCGCAACCTAGAAATTCCCTTTCTGCGCCCGCAGCGCTTCTAATGCTCATACGAACGTATTTCTGCCAAACGGAAGTATTTGCATTATGACGTGAGCTCGGTTATGCATACATTCTTATGGGTCTCACGGCTTATGCCTTGATGCACATAGTTCCGTTTGGCAGAAATACGTTCTTTTGACGTTTTTCCGTAGCTCGGCAGAGTATGGATTCTCCAAGTCACCGAGCGCGAATGTTGCACTTTCATTGCATCGGCTGTCACAAGTCACATTCTACCAACCCAACCAACCGAAGCGCTACCGAATGTGCTCCCTAATCCCTCGCCCGCCATGTAAATGTTAATTGAGCCATCTATTTTCAAAACAACGATCCCGGAGATTTTTGATAGGTTAACGTATAAACCACCGGAGATCAACAGCGTAATAGATTTATACCTGTCACGGCGGGTAAACCATCCAGATTTATCAAGTTTTAAAAATTCTCTCCGTGCGGCGGTAAAGGACTAACACTGATGTGCTAAGAGAAAACGACGTATGACCTTCCAGACGTTGCCAAACTTCCTTCGAGAATCAGGAATTTTCCGGAAAATCCTTGAACACTTTTCTTCTAATTTTACAGAGAATTGAAGCGCTGCATGCAGAGAGGGAATTTCTTGGTTGTTCTGAAAAAAAGTGATGTTGATTTAACATTCTGGATGTAAAAAATGTGTGCGAGAACTTACAAAATGCTGAATTACCCGCTATGGCAGATAGTTTTACGTATTGACATTGCAGCAGTAACTGCTGTAGCGGTTACTTTAGCACTTTGTAAGTTTTTGCACACACTGGAAAAAAAAAAAACACATCGGATCTATAGAGTCCAGACTCTTAAAAACACCGACAAGAAAAAGTACTCTTGATTCAATCAGAATCTAACTTAAATCAAGAACCAAGCCTCTTAATTTAAGCGGATTTCGTTTTGACTCAAGCAAAAATCCGATTGAATCAAGAGTACTTTTTCTTTTCAATGTTTTAAAGAGTCTGGTCTCCAGATCTAATGTGTTTTTTTTCCAGTGCACTTTTTTTACATCCAGGATGTTAAATCAACATCACTTTTTTTCGGTGTGCGATTTCTCAAAATTTCTGCCACCTTCTCATCCATTATGATTAGAGTAAATGTATGTAAATTCCTTGTAACTTTTACTATATATTCTTTTTGATTTTACAATGCTGAAAACAGATACCGCAACTACGAGAAGTGTATTTCCTGCATCCAACGCTTCAATTTCTTTCGTAATTCGATCTGAAGTGACTGAAAATATCAACGGAGGGTATTCATGACTTGCCCCAAAAATAAGTTACTTCGATGAGCAATGTTCGAATGTCCATACGTCGGTTTCCCTTAGCACGGCAGGAGAGAGGTCACGTGATGTCGGTCGTTCATTTTTTCTATTAACCTATGAGTCGAAGGATTAAACTAAGGAGTGGGAATTATTCCTGATGGGTTAGCCTCTGTGACGGTTCACTCGTGGCGGTGAAAAATGTGACGTCATAGTGTGTTTAACGGACTGGAATAAGATTGTGATCGGATGTTTCTCTTTGTTACAGATCTGCTGAACACAGCCCGGGAGTTTTTTGAACCAGGAGTCACATCTTTTACTCAGATTCTCTTCGATGTTGCTAGAAAACAACTGATCGTTGGAGCCAGGTAAGAAAATCACTCATCTCGACGTTTCACATGTGTCTTAAGTAGAGATAATTTTTTTTTTCCCCCGTAAGGATCGCGTCTTAGTTAATTATTAACATAGGCAAGAGAAACTCATAGAGAAAAAAACGATTGTTGCTCCTGCAATATACTTATCTCGGATTCTTGGTCCTCCACCCGGTCGGATTCTTGAGCCTCAGAAATCATAGAGTTATACGGAGTTCAGAGCTCTTGTGGAAATTGAGATACGCCCTTACGGGAGAATAGCAACGATTTCCCGTAAACGATCACCTTTGGACGTATTTCTATCGAACGGAACTGTGCATTATGACGTGAGCCCTGTTATGCACATATTCTTATGGGTCTGGGGGCTCATGACTTAATGCACATTGCTCCGTTTGATAGAAATACATCCATTTGAAATCCTTTAAAGGATGAATTATCTCCAATCACAGATCTACTCCCTTACAATCAACAGAAATACAAACCCACAGTGGCGTGACGCGAATAATCGATTATCGATATCTCGCCATTTGAAGCTACGGTAAAGAATCGATTACTAAGGTGTTCGCTGCGAACACCCTGATAATCGATCTTTTTTCGTAGGTTTAAATGGCATAACAATCGATATATCGCAATTCACGCCACGCCACTGCAAACCCACTTACATGCGATGAACCCAATGTTACTACGAAAATTCTGAAACTCTTATAGCTCCGTTTGATAGAAATACGTCCATTTGAAATCCTTTAAAGGATGGATTATCTCCGATCACAGATCTACTCCCCTACAATCAACAGAAATACAAACCCACTTACATGCGCTGAACCCAATGCTACTACCAAAATTCTGAAACTCTTCACCTCTCTTAATTTAAAAATCTAAATTTTCGCATATACTCCCATTTTCAAAATTCTCTGTAAAGACGTTAATAGCCTGTGACGCTGAATGTCTTAAATTATACTAACTAACTAACTAACTCATGCCCTTGCTTTCAAGTCAACCAACAGAACCCACCTGTAGATTGAGCCTCGAACTATTGATTAGATAAAACTAGCGACGAATCATATTTGCAAAGGCTTAGGGGTGCTAAAGTCAACGAGAGAATCGCAACTCGAGGGCTTGCATTCACGATCACGATTAGCTGGCTGAATCATCATTCGAAAGTGACATCTTCACTTTCATAAGAACGGCACACATCCGAATTTCGAGACGAGCCCTGAAGTCCATCCAACTCCATACACATAAGGAATACATGAGAATTGACTTACGTGCTTTTGTCAGAATGAACGATACGAGGCTCGACTAGGGGAGCTGCGAGCCTCTTCTCCTCAAGTGGATGAGTCCCCTATCAATTGAGTCTCAGGCTCTCGAAACCAACCATCTGACGGTGCATTGTTGACTCGGTTTTGCTATTTTAATAAAGCTGACTCTTCATTTTGACTGAGTCTGGAGTGAGATAATTCCTCAAGTGGTTGTCGTCAAGTGCAGTGCTGCTGTGCTAAGGAAAAAAGTCGTAAGGACATTCGAATATTGTCAAGTTGCACCAGATTTTAGTCTGAATAATACTTTATGATGAGAAATGTTCTCTAGTGAAAGTTTCAACCCGATTCCAAAGCTCGTTTTGACGAAACAGCGTCGCAAAGTTTAAATTTTATCAGGTACTGTTGACGAATGTTAATATTTTGAGGTTCTTTGATTTAAAAAACAACTTAAGATGATATATTTTACTTGCGTGAGGCATTGTATCATCACTTAGACTTTATTTTGCAATTAGGAACTACAAGTACGGCTCATGCATAAAAACACGTATATGCACAGACTGAGCCGAAAATCGTAGTTCCTAATTGCAAAATATAGTCCAGTTGATATTTTTGTGCCTCGAAAAATAGAACGGAATCAACCGAAGTTCATTTTTCAACGGACAAACTTCAAAATATCAGCATAATGGTAATAAATGTAAACTTTGCAAAGCTGTAATGCCAAACTAAGCACTGCTAACATTTTGACTGACGGATTATCTCATTACATAGTATTGTCTAGGCCACGGTCAAATGAGGTCCCTGAAATTCCCTAAAAAGGGACACAAAAAGGCCATTTTTTGACAGACTTTTTTTTAATACTTTACACTGAAAAAAAGAAGAATCTTAAATCTGCCGCCAAGAAGTATCTTTTCTAGAATCACGAATTTTGCTGCTTAATATAAACTACTTTTTTGCTTAACCCAAGCCTTCTTTCCCTTGTACTAAGAAAAATTCAGCTGAAATCAAGAAAAATAAAATTTTTGGTGTCAAATTCAAGAATCATCACGCTTGAGCCAAGCACATTTTTTTCAGTGTAGATCAAATTGCCAACAAAACTATTTGAAAACTGCAAGGAAAATATTAACAAGTTTCTCTGAAAAAGTTTTTTTTTATCTAAGGAAATATGGCATGGTCTGGGGGCGCATACGCCGTTCTTCTTTACTTAGCAAGACAAGAGAGGCTCTCCACTCGATTGAAGTCATATGTAGGTGTCACCGAGAAGGGATCTTTATCTCGTTCTCTCGATTCCAGGTGTTGGATACATTTATATAACCGGGAGAAAAAGTTATTGCGTATCTTTCACTCCCCCTTAACATTCAGATTTGTATTATTTGTGTAATTGAAGGGGCAAAGAGAATTTGAATTGGCCTATTTCTGGGAGGAGCCTTCTCCGCACTTTTTATAAGTAAGCTTCGATTGGAAGTTATTCTCAGAGAATTTTGAAGAGAATCTGCAGTTTAATCGATGACACTCGGCGAAAGTGTAGTCTCGTGGGCGTAACTGATGCCCCCCTCCCCCTTCAAGATGGTCCTCTCCCAAAGGTGGATCAGGAAGAGAAGATGGCATGCTTCCTCTTCCTCGTTAGGAAATACAAGACGAAAGAGAGAGAGAGCGAGAGCGAGAGCGAGAAAGGAATGGAAATCGGAGAAAAGGAAAAAATGAAGCTAATTCTGAACAAATAAGTGCATGCCGTGATCTCTGTCTTGATTCTTAAACCATCGTTTGATTCGCCAATCTCCTCGCCTATTTGAATCTATTGGTTCGCTTCTAGCTCACATCTAGTCGAAAATTTTGAGAGTACTATTAAGAATCATATCCTTCGCTTTCGAGTTAAGGAGAACTCATACGGTTTACATTGTGATTAAAAGAGATTCAAGGAGATCTTTGACGCAGCTTCTTTGTAAATAAAATTATAATGTATCTCGAAAATAATAATAGCAGGACGATGACTCTGAAAATGAATCTTGGCAAGCGACTACGATAATTTGCCTCAGAAAAATCACAAAACACGAAAGAAATAATTTCAAGGTTTTGACAAAATTTGAGGCAGGTGCAAACTTACCTTAAAATTCACAAAACATGCATCATATGTCCTTTTTTATTTTGTGCTTTCTCTGGCAATAAATTATTGTAAAGGAACCTCGTGAAGATGCATCTCCCGAGTTATACTGCTGAATTTCACTCAAGATTCATTTATGTAGTTGTTCTCATTAAGGTGCTATGGTCAAGCCCAGTGTTCGAAACTCACCTTTGAGTTTTAGCAGCCATGTGGCGCATCAAGCCCGATTTTTAGGCGTCATTGAAGTTTTTTAGGGTCCAAATTGACTTTTTGCCTATACATTACGGCACCTTTAGTGAAAAGTTAGACGCAAGATGTTTTCGTATCAGAAGTAGTAAGTAGCTGTAACTTGGGGAAGACAAAAGCACTGAGAATGAAATCGTGAAGAATAAAAAAAGCAGGCTTTCACTTGAAGTGCTGAAAATTCTGAGTTTCTTCAATTCAGATAGATTTGTTTTCCTTTCTTTATGTGACTTCCTGTGAAAATCCAGATATTTAGGGGGCATTTTTTATCGGCTACGTTGGCGCAGAGCTTTCATTTTTTAGGCGCCATAGTCGATTTTTTAGGCGCATTTGGCGCGTTGGCCCAGTGGACAAGCCTTCCTCAACCCTCCTGTAATCAAACTTTAAACCATATGAAGCCTCCTTGGAGAAGATCTGTTTAAAAAATGACTATAAATACGAGCCTACGCGTTTAATCATGACAGAAATCATGTAGCTATGGAAAAACGGGCTCATTGCAAAACTTCATTCAATAATCCTCAATATCCCAACGGGACTTTCACATCTCAATCAACCTGGTAACTCTAAAGCGAAACTTCGAAAACGGCACAAATTGCATTTACTCGTGAGCTTTTGAAAGCCTGCTTTAGTAGCGAAATCAAGGTTCATGATCCGATGTTACATAGGTGAGTACTCCACCATCATTGAGCGGACCGTTGGAATAGAGTGACGAGAACGCATGCACACTCCCTCACGCACAGCGTATCATACGAGCGCACATTAATTTCATATCCCGGCATCGATGGCTCACGACTCCCAGCATCGCACCAAAGCGACGCATCCGTCATCGTCCATCTCTTCCGCGCCGGGCCCTGTCTTTTTCGCGCTTGCCGTCCTAAGAAAAAACCTCGCGTGAGCAGCCAGACATTGCCGAATGTCTCTCTAATCCTTATATTTCACTGGTGAAAAAAACCTCTTGGTTCAAGAGTGCAGTTCCTTGTCGCTGGATTTAAGAGTCTGGACTCTCGTTTCAATGCAAAATCCGCTTGAAACAAGAAATCAAGACTCTTAAATCCAGCGACAAGAAACTGCACTCTTCAGTCAATGCACCGTGGGATTGGTCCAAGAGTTTTTTTTTTTTTTTTTTTTTTTTTTTTTTTTTGCTTACCAGTGTATTTATTTAATATTGAGGCCGCCCCTTAATGGAGAATTTGCAGGTGTCTGAGAGTCTGTGAATTTCATCTTTAAAATGATACCTCTAGGAAAACTGAGCAAGTCATCAACTTGAACAATTATCGCGAGAACTATGACAAAATAACGTAATCTACTGAAATACACGTGTTTAAATGGAAAATGCCGCCAGATGACGTCATAAGGCGGCACATTTTTTCACTTTTAAATTAAACACATTTCTACGA